TGAGGTTTCCCTTCCCCCCTTCTTCCTTCCTTTTTCTATTTATTTATTATTTGCATATTTACCTATCTATCTACCCATAGAAATTCATGGACTCATGTTGTATTCAAAAGTTCTACTGTGAGGCCTGTCATGGTGGCTCATGTCTGTAATCCCAGCACTTTGGGAGTTCAAGGCGGGCAGATCACTTAAGCTCAGGAGTTTGAGACCAGCCTGGGCAACAAGGCAAAATTCCATCTCCACTAAAAATACAAAAACTAGCTGGGTATGGTGGTGCATGCCTGTAGTCCCAGCTACTCAGGAGGCTGAGGTAGGAGGATCACCTGACCCCGGGAGGTCAAGGCTGCAGGGAACTATGATCACACTCCAGCCTGGGAGACAAAGCGAGAAACTGAAACTGTCTCAAAAAAAAAGGAAAGAAAGAAAGAAACAAACAAAAAAATTCTACTCTGAAAAGCAAAGGGGTAAAGCATTGTGCTTACCTTTGGAGATAATGTAGAACCCTAAACCTAATGCTAGTTTGGCATATTTGGTAGATTTTTGTATTTGGAGCTCAGATGCACAAAATTGGATTAATCATAATCCTTGGTTCATGATATACTCATTATTTTTCATGCATGGTCCATTTCCTTTTTCTATTTTTTTGAGACAGGGTCTCACTCTATTGCTCAAGCTGGAGCGCAATGACGCACAGCTCACTACAACTTCAAACTCCTGGGCGTGAGCTGTCCTGCCACGCTGGCCTCCCAGGTAGCTGGGAATATATGCAAGTGCCACCATGCCCAGCTAATTTTTAAATTTTTTGTAGCAACAGGGTCTCTCTGTGTTGGCCAGGCTGGTCTCAAACTTCTGACCACAAGCGATCCTCCCACCTCGCATCCTCAGCCTCCCAAAGTACTGAGATTATAGGCATGAGCCACTGCATCTGGCCAATAACCAATTATTTTTAAAACTATGCACCTCAAACCCACTGCTCAAAACGAAAACTATAACAGATAATAACTCTATGACTTAGCAGTTCCATTCCTAGGTATGTGAGAAATCCTTGTTTATATATAAGAGCAGACAGATACGTACAAGAATGTTCTTAGCAGTACTCTTTACAATAGCAAAACCCTAATGCCTATCTACAGGATAGAGCATGAAAAAACTGGTACATTCTTACAATGGACTAATATACAGGAGTTGAAATCAATGAACTATATAGTGACATACAACATGAATGAGTCTTATCAATATAAGATTAAGCAAAACAGCACCCCAAAATAAATATAGCTTGATACCCCTTTTATAAAGCATAAATTGTAAGAATATGTATATTTTAGGAATATAGTTAGACACAAAGTAATTATATAACAAGGAAAGCAATGGAATCATAAAGAAGGGGTTCGGGATTATGGCAACCTGGGATGAGGGAAAGTAGAGGAATGGGATAGGGCAGCTGAATACATGGCTAGTGCAGATTGCCATGTTTATTAATGGCTTTAAAGAACATCCAGTACATGTAACTCAAACTTGGACATATGAGAAAAAGCCTGTTTTCCAGACTTTTTGCTGCGATTTTAGTTTTAGGATTTCCTCCCACCTCACCCCCGACAAGACAGAGTCTTGTTCTGTCACCCAGGCTGGAGTGCAGTGATGCAATCTCGGCTCACTGCAACCTCTACCTCCCCGATTCAAAGGATTCTCATGCTTTAGCCACCCAAGTAGCTGGAATTACAGGCGTGTGCCACTACGCCCAGCTAATTTTTTTGTATTTTTAGTAGAGATGGGGTTTCACTATGTTGGCCAGGCTGGTTTCCAACTCCGGGCCTGAAGTGACCTGCCTGCCTGGGCCTCCCCTAGTGCTGGGATTACAGGTGTGAGCTACCACTTCTGGCCCCTAGGATTTCCTGATAGAGCTGATTGATTTTCATGTAAGCATATGTTAAGATCACGTAGTGTTAATTTGGGATTATAATGTATGCCAAAAAATAAAGTTCATAAATTTATAGAACTAGAAGTAAGGCCAGGTATGATGCCTCACATCTGTAATCCTAATACTTTGGGTGACTGAGGCAGCGTTGCTTGATCTCAAGAGTTTGAGACCAGCTTGGGCAACAGAGTGAGACCTTGTCTCTACCTAGTTTGGCATGGTGGCACTGCCTATGGTCCCAGCTATTTGGGAGGCCGAGGTGGGAGGATATGCTTGAGCCCAGGAGGTTGAGGCTGCAGTGAGCTATGGTAGCGCCACTGCATCCTAGCCTGGGTGACACAGCAAGACTGTGTCTCCAAAAAAAGAAGAAAGATCCAGAAGGTAGTGAAATCCGAATGAGTAATATCTCTCCTTTCTTAAAAAGTATAATCGTTTAGTAGGAAAATGAGAAAGTTTGAAATGAATTTTTATCTAAATGAAATCATAAATTGCTTTAAGAGGCTCTTCCATTTCACTTTCAATTGCCAAAAACTTTTCTCAAGTTTGAAAATACCTAAAAGCCATATTATTATTATTATTTTTATTTTTGAGACAGAATTTTGCTCTTGTTGCCCAGGCTGGAGTGCAATGGCACAATCTCGGCTCACCGCAACCTCCGCCTCCTGGGTTTAAGTGATTCTCCTGCCTCAGCCTCCCCAGTAGCTGGGATTACAGGTATGCACCACCACGCCTGGCTAATTTTGTATTTTTAGTAGAGATGGGGTTTCTCCACGTTGGTCAGGCTGACCTCGAGCTCCCAATCTCAAGTGATCTGCCCACCTCGGCCTCCCAAAGTGCTGGGATTACAGGTGAGAGCCACCGTGCCTGGCCGCCATATATTATTTTAATAGAGTCATTAGCTTTTACTGGAGTTATTCTTGATCCTCTTTCTCCCTCACTTGCCAGTCCTTTACAGAGCGGTGCTGAGTCTATTGCCTTAACATTGCTCTACTCTGAACCTCCTTGTTCTCTTCAACTGCTGCTGCAGTTTAAGCCTAGGTCTGCGAACTAGCAACTCAAGGGCCACCTTCGGCCTACAGACAAGCTATGTTTGGCCTGTGCAAAGTTGAAAGTTTAAAAAATTTGTTGCCAACGTTTAAAAATTTGGAAGTTGTGCTTAAAAATGCAGATCTCAGCTTCTTTTAAAAAATAAAAATGTTATAGCTAGATGTGGTGGTGCTGGGGGAACCGGCAATGGAGGAAGGGCTTACAGAGTGCCACATAAAATGGTTTCAAGTACTGGGAACGATATACTGCGGCAAACTGCGTCAGGCCTCTGGGGAGGCAAACTTCCCTAAGCCTTCAAGTTCCAGCTGCAGCGTGACCCTGACTCTGTTACAGTGCATGACATGCTCAAGGACTTAAAATCCCTTTGGTAGCATCACAAAGTAACCAGACTTGTAGGCTCCTTGTGAGACTCACTCCCTCCAGCTGCGCCTAAATGCAATCTATAGATAATAACCACATGCTTCTGCTTTTCAGAGAAACTCACAAAGCTGCCACTGCTACCAATCTTTAGAATGACCCGCCAGTTCCAGTTCCCCAAAGAATGCCCCACCATCGCACCACCCCCTCCCCACCATCACCTCACCTTCACCCCACCATCTGCTGACTGCTCAGTGACTGTAACCACTAAATACTGTGGGGAACCTAAGCTCGGGGCCTTCACTGTCTCCATTACAAGTGATGGTCCCCTGGACCCACTTTCATTCTTAATCTTTCTCTCATTCCCCTGTCGCCACCGAACTCAGGGTACCCACGGATGGGGTGTGGGGGCTGGTTCCCTACACGGTGGCTCACACCTGTAGTCCTAGCTATTCAGGAGGCTGAGGAAGGAGGACTGCTTGAGCCCAGGAGTTCCAGGCTGCAGGGAGCTATGACTGTGCCACTGCACTCCGGCCTGGGCAACAGAGAGACCCATCTTTGAAAAAGAAAAAAGAGAAACCAGAATATCTGGCAACCCTAGGCCTACAAGTTTCTTTCAACTGGTTCGCTTCACACCTTAGCATGACTTGCTTACCCCCATAAGGGCGACCAGTCTCCTTTATCTAGCCTTCCACCCTTACCTCAATATAGCATTATATCCACCCCACCTCCTCTACATTGTCAAAAGCGGCTTGCTCATCAGATTCGATCAGATCACTTCTTGATTTGCATATGCTTGATTTGCTGGTTATTTTCTGGATAAAATCGAAACTCTTTAAAATGGCATTTCATGATCCAGTTTGCCCACACCATGCTGGTCCTCACTCCCTACCCAGCACCTGCAGTTCCCAAACCAACTTCTTTATTTCTGCCGTGCTGCCCTCTCCACCTTCTCTTCTTTCTCCTGGCTAACCCGTACTCAGCCTTCAAAACTCTGCGTTGACATCCATCTTCCGAGAACCCCCAGAAGCCTTTCTCTCCTGCTCTTTTATGATCCCTCAGCAGCCTGTGCTCTTGAGTTTGTGAGCTCTTCATTTCAATGCTCCACCAGCAGACATTAACCCGGGGCGGGCTGAGTGGGGGGTAATCGTACTGGGATTAGATCAGTGTTATTTCCTAGTCTACACCTCGTACTGAGTTCTGTCCCCAGGGTGTAATGTGACCGGGGTGAATAAGGGTCCGCCCCGGTACGGATTCCTGAGACCACCGTCCCCCTCCGTGTGCAAACCTATACATTCCGCCGCAAGCAGCGCAGGAGACCGCGCGCGCGGCCTAGGATTGGAGGACGCGGCCTGCGAGCCAGGTTTGGGATTGGAGGGCGTGGCCTGAGGGAGCGGCCTGTGATTGGAGGGCGCGGCCTGCGAGCGCGGCCTGGGATTGGGCGGCGCGGCCTGCGGGAGCGGCCTGGGGTTGGAGGGCGTGGCCTGCAGGAAAGGCATGGGATTGGAGGGCGCGGCCTGCGAGCGCGGCCTAGGATTGGAGGGCGCGGCCTGAGAGCCCGGGCTGGGATTGGAGGGCGTGGCCTGCAAGACCGGCCTGTGATTGGAGGGAGCGCCCTGCGAGCGCGGCCTGGGATTGGAGGGCGCGGCCTGCGGGAGCGACCTGGTCTCGAAGGGCTTGCCGGGAGCTGTAGTCCCCGGAGCCGGAAGTGGGGGTGGCCGGGATTGAAGCAGCCGACGAGGCGGCAGTAGCTGCCGCTGCCGCCACCCGAGTATAGCGCATCACCCGGAACCCACCGGCCGCAGGTGCTTCCTACGGCCCCAGGGGCCCCCGGGAGCCCGGAAGAGCGAAGCGGCAGGGACGTCTTCTCAGGCGAAGAGGCGGCCTTGCCGCCCCGGATGCGGCCGGAGAGCGCGGGCATGGAGCTCGGCGGCGGCGAGGAGAGCCTGCCCGAGGAGAGCAGGTGGGCTGGGAGCGGCCGCGGAGCTGCGGTGGCTGCAGGCGCTGGAGCCGCAGGAGGCTTGGGAGGGCGTGGGGACACGGAGAGAAGGGCCGGGCGCGACGAGTTGACGACGGCTGCGGAGGACTTGTTTGGGAAGCATTTCGCAGAGGAGGGGCGGGCGGGGCGTGGATGGGACGAGGGAACAGGCTTAGGGGTGAGGACGGTGGGTGGGATTTTCCGAGGGCAGAGGGAGCAGAGGAGGGTGAAGCTCAGATCCAAGACTGCTGGAGAGGAGGTGGCTGCTGAGAGTCTGTCTGGCCGAAGAGGCCAGAGGGGCTGCAGTGAGGTTTTGCAGGGCAGAGTCTATAGATAGGGACAGGGCACCACCCTCACTGAAACTTGCCGTGACAGCAAGTGGGGCCAATGTGAAGAGGGTGAGGTCGTAAGAATTTCTGGGAGCAGAGGTTAAGCGTTACGAGTGGCCTAGGAAGAAGCTTCGGCGAGATGAGTGTGGGGAGGAAGGCGAGGAGAGCCTGTGGGAGAAAGTGAGTGAGTGTAATGGCAGTGGGGTGGGGGTGGGGGCTTGCTAATGCCACCAGAAACTGCACTTAGTCATGGCTGGATCCCTGTCAGAGAGTGGCAGGACCTGTGTGTCATATCCTTTTCATCTTCAAACCTCTCACTTCTTCCTCACAATGCAAACTGAGTTCTCATTGTCAGAAAGTTCACATCTTCTGGAAATTGGGGATTTAAAATATAACTACTTTGGGGCTCTGCCTGAGATCTGTGAATGATTTGTACCAAGTGAGACTGAACATCTGACTTCCGTTTTCCATGTTTCACTTTCTGCTTTGCATATGTGTCTATTCTTCCTCCAGATGTCTGTGAAATGCTTTATGTAAGAGGTCCCATATAAATTCTAAACACATTTTAGGATTATTTCGATTTTCCTCTACTACCTCATTTGAGGGCTAGTTATTTTTTTAATGTATGTAACACACTATTTACCATATGCCAGGTATTGTTTTAAGGTATTAAGATATGAATACTGCATTAACTTGTTTAATCCTTATAACTGTTGTATGTGGTAGGTACTACTATTGTCTCCTTCACAGATGAGAAAGCTGAGGATGGACAGGATAAGTAACTTGCCAAGGTTGTACAGCGAATCCCTGACAGAACTGGACTCAAAGCCAGGCAGTGTGGCACCAGAGTCTGCACTTTTTTCTTTCCTTAGGGACAGGGTCTCACTATGTTGCCTAGGCTGGTCTCAAACTCCCGGGCTCAAGTGATTCTCCTGCCTTGGCCTCTCAAAGTGCTGAGGTTACAGGCATGAGCCACCATGACAGCCCAAGAGTCTGTACTTCATTTTTTTTTTTTTTGACAGTCTTATTCTTTCGCCCAAGCTGGAGTGCAATGGCACGATGTCAGCTGACTACAACCTCCGCTTCCCAGGTTCAAGTAATCCTGCCTCAAGTAATCCTTCCCAAGTAGCTGGGATTACAGATGCCCACCACAATTCCCAGCTAATTTTTTGTATTTTTTTTTTTTTTTTTTGAGACGGAGTTTCACTCTTGTCACCCAGGCTGGAGTGCAATGGCGCGATCTCGGCTCACTGCCACCTCCACCTCCTGGGTTCAGGCGATTCTCCTGCCTCAGCCTCCCAAGTAGCTGGGGTTACAGGCACGCACCACCATGCCCAGCTAATTTTTTTTGTATTTTTAGTAGAGACGGGGTTTCACCATGTTGACCAGGATGGTCTCGATCTCTTGACCTCGTGATTCACCCTCCTCGGTCTCTCAAAGTGCTGGGATTACAGGCGTGAGCCACCGCGCCCGGCATTTTTGTATTTTAGTTTTGCCATGTTGGCCATGGTCTTGAACTTCTGACCTCAGGTGATCTACCCTCCTTGGCCTCCCAAAGTGCTGGGATTACAGGTGTGAGCCCGTGCGCCCGGGCTGAGTCTGTACTTTTAATACTTACACTATGCTGCTTTTCAGTATGCTAATAGAGACAAAGAAATATATAAGATAGTGAATAAATATCGTAGCATTCTGTGCCTGTCTTTTAGGCCAGTAGGATAGCTCCTTTGCAGAATCTTTTCCCATCTTTTATTCTTTTTATGCTTGCCTCTCGACCAAAAAACTTTAATCAAAACTTAATTTTAGTAGTGGAGTTATCCTCACAAAGTCGTTCATGTTGTCAGAGGCCTACTCTGTTGGAGGCTGGTTAATTCAGAATGTGTTTTTTAATAAGGCTTCATGGTACTGATGGCCTCCTTAGCTCCAGATACACAACGGGTAAATACATTCCTTGTGCCTATTAATTGAGGCTTTGTGACTGGGTTACTGCATGCATAACCTTTCTCTGGCCAATGAAACACCCAGTTCAGAAACAGTCTTCCTGATGAGATAGCATCGTTTAATTAATTAATTTATTTTAAAGACAGGGTCTCACTCTGTCACTCAGGTTGGGGTGCAATGGCGCATTCATAGCTCACTGAAGCCTCAAACTCCTGGGCTCAAATGCTCTTCCCACCTCAGCCTCCTCAGCAGCTAGGACTGCAGGTGTGTGCCGCCACACCCAGCTAATTTTTAAATTTTTCAAATTTTTTGTAGAGATGGGGTCTCGCCATGTTGCCTAGGCTGGTCTCGAACTCCTGGCCTCAAGGGATCTTCCCGCCTTGTCCTCCCAGAGCACTGGAATTACAAGCATGAGCCTCTGTGCCCGGCCAGTAGCATCATTTTAAAAATGAAGGATGAAACTTTTCAGTATATTTTCTGTAAGTAGTTGGTATAATGAAATGAGAATAAGCTTTAAAGTCAGATAGACCTGCATTTGAATCCTAGTCAAAGGATTAGTTTGGCTTAACTTGATCAAGTTACTTTACTTAACCTGCCTGAGTAGGAATAGTGATGCTTTCCTGCCTGAGAACTTGTGAAGATTGAATAAAATGATATGCATAAAGCTCCAACCAAATGGAGAGCAAAAATAAATAAATAAACAAAAAGCAGGAGTTGCAGTTCTCACATTTGATAAAACAGATTTCAAAGCAACAAAGATACAGTGGTAAAAGGATCAATGCAACAAGAAGAGATCTTAATACCCAGATACATGAGACCCATAGCGAGATTTAGACTCAACGAGACAGAAAATTAATAAGGATATCCAGGACTTCCACTCAGATCCAAAACAAGTAAACTCAATAAATATTTATAGAGTTCTCCATTTTAAATACACAAAATATTGATCAGCCATTATTAATACCCATTTTTAGAATGAAGCAATATTCCTGTTCTCTCTCCCTCTTTTTCTTCCTCTTTCTTCCTCTCCTTCTCTCCTATTTTTACTTTTCAACATCCTAGTTCCTCACCTCTACTCAATACATTCCTCTGAACACCTGATTCCTTGTGATTCTCCCATCCCACTGAAACCTCCAATCCATTAAAATAAATAAATAAACAAATAAAAATAAAGCTCCTGAGATCTCGACTATGTAGTAAGTGCAGAAAATGTCAACGCCGTCCCCTTGCCAGTTTTTTTGAAATAAGGCAGCTGTCTGCCCCACAGGTTACTATTTGCAAGGGTGTAACTTGTTCTTCCTCTTTCAGTAGCTCCCAACGCATTGGAACCTAGAGTGTTGGCTTAGCTTCCCACGTCACCCTGGTGGTGTAATTATGTGATAGATTTCCCTATTGCTTTCCATCTAGCTATCATTCCAGCAAAATGCTGTGGAGCTTAGGGATGATACTTAACCTTCCCTCAGTTTCCTAAATGGCAGTTGATTTGACGTTGTCTAGTAAAACTACTAAACTACTAGACTGGTCAAGTACTAAAGGAATGGTCTTTGCAGCATTGCCCTGTGTACTTAGACAGCCCGGGCCATGCAGTCTACTGCTGACCTTGGAACCCAGGTACCTGCACTGCCCAGTTTTCCTGGTGCAGTCACAGTTCAAGCAGTAAGATGCATCTTAGTATCTCCAAACTGAGCTTACTCCTCTGACCAAAACCTTCGCCTCTTCTGACCTCTGTCGATAGCATTTTCCACTCACTCAGCCAATCCAGAGGGTCAGAGTGAAATTTGGTATTTCCCTCTTCCCCTTTCCCATATCTAAGCAGTCACCGGGGTCTAAAATTCAATTCCTGATTTTTCTTTAGAAGCCTTCTTTTTCTCTCCATTTCCAAATATAGTGGTTTATATGACTAAAGAATCTAGGGTGTACTATTGCTTCAGACGTGCCCAAATACAGTGTTCAAGGCTCTGTTTCCTGATGTGCTGTTTTCATTCTCAGGTAGACTTTTCTACAGGATTACCTTAGCAACTCTAAGCTTAGCAACACCAGCGGCAGAAAACATGTAGTCCCGTAGCTCCAGCAGAAGCAAGAATCCCAGGGCTGACGCTTTTTGTTCCTGTTCTTGTGATCAGGGTGTGGGCTGTTATGCCTAGTCAGGACCAAGTTACGTGCCCAACCCTGGGTCCTAGAGTAGGGTGAGATCTTGGAACCTCATGGACCAGAGCAGAGAGGTGGTTCCTCAGTGAAAAATCGGGATTCTCTTACCAAAATAAAGGGACAAATTCTCAGCAGATATAAACAGCGTATTCAGTCTAGATTCATATCATTTCTCCTTGAGGATTACTTCGTAACTTCTTAACTAATCTTCCACCCTGAATTTAGTCTCTCAATTCCAGATAGCCTCACCCTGCTTCTAGATTACTTTTTCAGAAACAAAGTTACTATAATATTTTACTCAGATATGTTCAGTGGTTGTCTGGGCTTGGTGGTTTACGCCTGTAATCTTAGCACTTTGGGAGCCCAAGATGGATGGGTCACCTGAGGTCAGGAGTTCCAGACCAGCGTGTTCAACATGGCAAAACCCCATCTCTAGTAAAAATACAAAAAATTAGCCAGGCGCAATTGTGCACCTCTGTAATCCCACTTAGGCTGAGACAGGAGAATTTCTTGAACCTGGGAGGCGGAGGTTGTGGTGAGCTGAGATGGTACCACTGCACTCCAAACTGGCCGACAGAGCGAGACACTGTCTCAAAACAAAAGTCATGTTCAGTGGTTTTCCCATTGAAAATAGAATATTTCCTGTGTCAAAACTCCTCACTCTGGTATGTTAGTACTTATGAAGTTCTCAGTTACAGGACATGGCACGTTCGCCCACTCTCACGTCTTTCTCGCCCTTCTCATTCTTGCTTTTCTACACTGGCTGCAGTAGCCCCCTCTTTGAAGATCTCTCAGTCATCCCTGACATGACGCGGCTTCAGAAGGCATCCCTCTCTATTAGAGCACATCTCACTTCATGGCATGGTTATATCAGTGCCCATTTCCCCCATTACGTTCTGAATTTCCTGGCAGATGGGACTCTTCCTCTTTAACCACCATTGCCTAGCACAGTGCCTGACATGTAGGTGGTGTTCAGTGAGTGTTTGAGGAATGAAAACATTAACAGTGTGGTCATGCCTCTTACAGTTGGGCAGATGCTAGTGGAACTGTTGTCATTGAAAGTGCCACTTTCTTCCAATTTCTCCTATTCATTTTCACATTTTTAAATTTCCTATTTTATTTCTTTCCCATCCTTCTTTGATCATGCTCAGGGTTAACAGTTTATATAGAATTGGTAGCAAAGCAGAATGATCACATGATTTTAAAGCAGTCCACATTGCCAGATGAATTTGTAGTACAAAAATTACAGAAACATACCCTCGAAGCTTCTGGGGAAACTGCTGTTGTCTGAACCCAGGAGGAGAAGGGTGTTTCAGCGACTGCAAGGACTCTAAACCTGAAGCGTTTCTCAGTATTCCTTTCCCCACAGCTATTTCTGTTTTTTAAAGGGTTCTTGTATTGTTGCCCAGGCTAGACTTGAACTTTTGAAGTCAAGCAATCCTGCTTCAGCCTCCTGAGTGACTAGGATTACAGGCATGTACCAGTGTGCCCAGCATACCTTTTACCTTTAAATCTTATACCAGAAATGGAAGAGACTGAGACACTTGTGTTTCCTCCTGTGCCATTGCTATTGAAGTGGTGTCGTGTGCCTGCTTTCCCTTGTTTGTAAAGCATTCTGCTGCCTAGATGGTATAAGATGAGCCTGTGAAGTAGTAAGATTGTCTTTCTTATATGTCTCATGAAATCAGCCTCGTTGTTTTGCAGTAAAACGTTGTAAGTTTCTTCATTGCATCAAGCAGATTTAAAAGTCTTGACTGTATACAAGTGACATCCACTATTTGAGGAAGTCCTTCCTAGCTTTCTTACTTCGGTAAGAAGGTACTTACCTTCTTACCTACTTTCTTTCTTACCTACTGACAGCATAAACAGGGCCTTGCACTCTGTGCTTGCCCACAGATTTCACCTTGGTTTAAATGTAGTGGATGTATTCTTTGGACGTGGGACACTGCAACCAAACTTAATTATGTTGCAGACTGTCCAGTCCTATAGAATTTTTGGCAGAATTTTTTTGAAGCAGAATGGGTAAGAAGGCTTTATTTTAGGTACCCTTCCTGATTTTGTTGCATTTATTAGATTTATGCAATGGAATTCACAGGGGGAAAATGACAGAGAGAGAATATTCTTCTCTGCTCGATGATAGTGCTTTCCATAGACTGTCAGTTATACTGTACTCTGCGAAGCAGCTGTTGTCTCCATTTTACAGTGAGGGAATTGAAGCTTCAAGAGCTTAAATGGCTTGGTCAAGAATGTGCATCTAGGCCCACTGCAGTGGCTCATGCCTGTAATCCCAGCACTTGGGGAGGCCGAGGCAGGCAGATCACTTGAAGTCAAGCGTTAGAGACCAACCTGGCCAACATGGTGAAACCCCATCTCTACTAAAAAATACAAAAATTAGCCAGGTGTGGTGGCGGGCGCCTGGATTCCCAGCTACTCAGGAGGCTGAGGCAGGAGAATCATTTGAACCCAGGAGGCAGAGATTGCGGTGAGCCGAGATTGTGCCACTGCACTCCAGCCTGGGCAACAGGAGTGAAACTCCATCTCAAAAATAAAATGAAATGAAATACAAAAGAAATAGAAGATACATAGTCCCTTTCTTTCAGGAAACAAGCTATATAACATTAAATAACAGTTTTAAAGTATTTTCAGAAGGAATGGTATATCGACAACGTATGCTTTTGGGGTTCTAAGAAAGGAGTTATAGTGGGTCAGATTATTTGGAACCTTTTGAGATACAGTTGCGTTAGAGCTGAACCTGAATCCTTGACTGGGATGAGAAGAGAAGAGGCTTTCCAGTTGAACAGATGCATGAATTAAGTCATGGAAGTAGGAGTGAGGTGGGTATGTTTGTAACAGTGCCTGCCTCTGACTTGAGGAGTGCTGAGCAGCAAAGTTGGTATTTAGATTGGGGCCAGTGATGGAGAATTTTTCACCTCCATGCTAAGGAATTTGTTGGTGGTTAGGTTTCTGACATAGGGGATATTTCTTCCTTATGTTAAATCTGTTGATAGTTGAAATTCAATACATTTGATATTACTAGTGTGATGGGGAAGCATTTGTTGAATAGGAATCAAGCTACAAAGCACACCTACAGGTACTGCTTATTCCCTCCTAGACATTAAGATTCTTCTCCGGCTGGGTGCAGGGCTCATGCCTGTAATCTTAGCACTTTAGGAGTCCGAGGCAGATGATTGTTTGAGCCCAAGAATTTGAGACCAGTCTCAGCAACATAGTAAGACTCCCATCTCTACAAAAATAAAAAGAAGATTCTAGCTGGGCGTGGTGGCTTGCACCTGTAATCCCAGCTACTCAGGAGGCTGAGGCAGGAGAATGG